TCCTGGCTGGCTGTCCCAGTGTCCCCATTGTCCCAGCTGGCTGTCCTGTGCTGGCTGGGGACAGTAATTGTGCCACCAGCTGCTCAAGCCACCTGGCCAAGGGTTATGGCTGGGACAGGAATGTTCCTGGTGCTGCCAGCTCCTGTCCCCTTTCCCTGTGGGATCTGTGCTGTCCCCTCAAACCCTGTGCAAGGACAAGTGAGTCTTGGTGGGACACACAGGCCCTGTGATGCCAGCTCCTGTCCCCTTTCCCAGTGGGATCTGTGCTATCCCCTCAGACCCTGTGCAGGACAAGTGAGTCCTGGTGGGACACGCAGCCCCAGGTGCCAGCTCCTGTCCCCTTTCCCAGTGGGATCTGTGCTATCCCCTCAGATCCTGTGCAGGACAAGCGAGTCCTGGTGGGACACACAGCCCCAGGTGCCCCCAGTCCTGTCTCACCTCACCCTGGCCCCTGCAGGATCCTTGCCCTGGACCTGGTGGTGCGGGATGAGGACGAGAACATCCTGGACCCCGACAGGACCAGCGTCGTGAGCCTCTTCCAGGCTCACAGGAGGGCGGCACAGACCCTCAGCCAGCGCCTCCAGGAGGAGACGGTGAGGCTGCTGCCAGCCTGATGTCTGTCCCAAAGCCTGATGTCCCCTGTGCCAGGGGAGGTGACAAGGCTGAGCCACCTTATGCCCCCCAGAGCTCGCAGCAGAGGGCACCAGGCCACGGCACCCACGGGGCTGCTTCGCCCTCCCACAACCTCTACCTGTGCGTGCGGAACTTCGTGTGCCACATCGGGGAGGAGGCGCAGCTCTTCATGGCGCTCTACGACCCCGGCGAGCAGCGCATCATCAGGTGGGGGCTCAGGACAGACCCCTGTCCCTGTCCCTGCTGTGCTGGGTGTTTGTCCTGCTGCCCCCTGAGGCGTTCCCCCCAGGCTGCCCGTCCTGCCCAGCCCTGAGAACCCAGCGGTGTCACAGGGGGAAGGGGCACATCCCTTTATTGTCATGGCGCCATATCCCATGGGACAGCCCATCCTGTCCTGCCCCGGCACTGCTGAGGTGACCAGGGGACAGCCAGGCTGGGCCAGTGCCTGTGCCGCGATTGGGGACACTGGTGGGATGGAGGGTCCGTGGGATGGGAGCTGTTGGGGTCTCTGCCACCCCCGTACCCACTTCAACCATCACCCACCCCGCAGCGAGAACTACGTGATCCGCTGGGCCAGCACCGGCGTCCCGCAGGACATCGAGCTGCTCAACAACCTCAGGGTGGTGTTCACGGTGAGCGCANAGAGACCCCCCGGTGCAGGGGCTGTCCCCAAATCTGGGGGCCAAACCAGCTCTGCCTGCCTCAGAGCTGTCCCTGGGGCCAGAAATAGCGACAGGGACAACCACAGCACAGCCGGGCAGGAAGCTGCTGGTCACCGAGAGCACCGCCCCCTCCCCTGCCGCTGGCTCTGCTGTCCCCAAACAGCCCTGTCCCTGTGTCACCAGTCCTGTCCCTGTGTCACCAGTCCGGTCCCTGTTCCACCAGCCTGTCCCTGCGCCACCAGAGCTGTCATTGGGCCACCAGAACGTCCCTGGGCCACCCGACCTGTCTCTGGGCCACCAAACTGTCCCTGGGCCACCAAACTGTCCCTGCACCACCAGACTGTCCCTGTGTCCCTGGGCCACCATCCCCGGGCAGGGGCTCAGCTGGCACTTGGTTCCCCTCACTGCTTGTGCCAGGAACAGGACCACCGGCACCCAGGGTGTGGGTGGAGGCAGAGGGGACCCATAAGGAACCCCTGAGTGCCAAAAAGGGGCTGGGGGATTCTGTGTGGGCTGTGTGGGGCTGGGGGATTCTGTGTGGGCTGTGTGGGGTCGGGGTGCTCTGGGGTCTCATCCCTGAGCTGTTTGTGGGGCCAGGGCTCTGCCCCATCTCTCAGGGCTGGACAGGGCCGGTTTTGGGGGGCACCATGGGGGGCTGGCTGTGGGGTGCAGGTGCCTGAGGGCTTCTGAGGGGCTCCAGGCAGGGACCCCAACTCCCATCCCATCTTCCCACAGCCGTGTGGAACTTCCCGCGCACCAAGGAGCATCACCTGCCGCTGCAGATCGGGGAGATGGTGCACATCCTGCAGGCCTCCGAGGGTAAGGGGGACCCCCAGTGAGGGTTCCTGCCCTCTTCTTTGTCCCTGAGCCAGGGCCAGGCCCCCCAGCCCGGCTGACAATGTCCCCTCCCCTGGCAGGCTGGTACTGCGGGTACTCGCTCCGGAACAGGGCTGCCCGGGTAGGTGACGGGTTTGGTGGCAGCAGGGACACTGCTGGTGGCTCTCTGTCCCTGCTGGGTGTCTGAGGGGGCAGGCTGGGCACCCTGTGGCATTGGCAGCCCCCAGCTGTGCCCCCCTGAGGGAAATCTCCATGGCTCTGGCTCCCTCAGGGCATCTTCCCCGCCTCGCTGATCCGGCTGAAGGGCACCACGGTGGAGCAGAGGGGGTAGGTCTGGGGGGCACAGGGAGGGGTTGGGGGGCTCCACTTTCTGCTCCCTGTGGTCCTGGGGTGTTCCAGGGCTCCCTTGTGTTTCCTCCAGGCTGGAGGAGAGCTCGGTGCCCTCCGACATGCCCATGGTGCAGGAGATCACCACCACGCTGCGCGAGTGGGCCACCATCTGGAAGCAGCTCTACGTGGTGAGGGACGAGGCTCTGGGTGTTGGGGACACCTGGGGACAGGCTGGGGGAGCCCCGGTGACCCCGTGGTGNTTTAATAATAATTATTAAAATAATAAAATAATAATTATTAATAATCTTAGTTAAAAATAATTGATTATTAAAGAATATTAAATATTAAATAATGAATAAAATACTGTATTAAAGAATTCTATAGTAAACTCTACTAAAGAATACAGAAAGGATACTTACACAATGCTAAATGGTAAAAATGGTAATAATTAACAATAACGGTAATAATTGTAATAATAAATAATAATATTATTAATTGTAATAATTAATAATAATTGCTATAATAGTAATAATTATTAATAATAACAACATAATGATAATAATGGTAATAATTTATAATGGTAGTAATTAAGAATAATAACTTGATTATTAATTAAATACTATTAAATGTTAAATAATAAATAAAATATTGTATTAAAGAATTCTATAGTAAACTATACTAAAGAATACAGAAAGGACACTTACTGAATGCTAAAATGATAATAATGAAAACTCCTGACTCTCTCCAGAGCCCCAACACAGCTTGGCCCCAATTGGCCAAAGAGTGAAAACAACTCACAGCAGAATCCAATGGAACAATCACCTGTGGGTAAACAATCTCCAAACATTCCACATGTGAGCACAACACAGGAGAAGCAAATGAGATAAGATTTGTTTTCCTTTTTCTCTGATGCTTTCCAGCTTTCCAGGAGAACAATCCTGGGTGAAGGGATTTTTCAGAGAATGTGAATGCCACAGGGCACGATGGCAGAAACCTTGTGCCAGCAAGGAGGCTCACAGCTGGCACAAGGTTTGTGGCTCTTGGTGCTGTGGTGTGGCTGGAGCATTCTGTGCTCCCAGCTCCATCCCCATGTCCTGCTCTTGGTCACTCAAAAGTGTCACCATGCCACCAGAACCCCTTCAGTGACCAGACTGAGCCCAGACCCCTGGCCAGTGCCATGAGGGTCCCAGGGCCTCCATCCCCACCCCGGCAGGGACAGCACGGTGGGGTGGGCCCTGCTGAGGAAGCAGAGGTTTCACAAGCTGGGGGG